GGTTCGTCGGTAGTACTTAGACCGTACCCCAACCCGTTACCGGTTACGGTTAACGTAAACGAAACCGTACGTACGTAACGTACGACTACACTACGAGACACTACTCTCTCTCTCTCTCTCTCTCTCTCTCTCTCTCTCTCTCTCTTTGCTTTTATAGTAATTTGTGCGGATGCACTGATCTGTTTTGTTATTGTCTCAGGTTGCTAACAACTAGTGGTTTCAGGGTGTGGCGGTTTACTTTTGGCGACAAGTTGACAAGATCTCCAAAAAATGTTGCTGGGGATTGCAACCGTTTGACTGTGTTTGCCCTTTGAAAGGGATTTGTTCCCCCTGAAACTTTATGTACTACCTTTACCATGAAAAATCTCTATAAGAAAGAAAATTTTAAAATTTTAATCATGTGCCAAAGTTTAAACGAGTAGCATTTTTGTAATGTTTGAAAATTGAATTCATATATTATGATGTATAATTTGAGCATTCAACCTGCATCTTTGAAAGCCCTTTGCAAAATGGGTTCTCTATACCACTGTATTAATCAGATTGGCTACTGGCAGGTCAACCTCTCTCTGTCCTTGCTGCCATTGTCTTCACTCTCATTCTTCCTGCAAGATGGCTGCGTCAAGCCGTGAAAGAGACTCTATAGCAGTTAAAACACCTAGCTACGTTGATTGTTTTAGTCTAAAATTTTGGGAACTCTATAGTAATTACTAGATTATTGTTATTAAAAGAAAAACATTGAATTTTGAGCTTTGTGGCACTCAGATCTAGCCTTTAAAAAATTGAATGGCCTTATTCAATATTGAGGCATTAGTTTTTTCTAGTATATGGAGAGTTTATTTGGAAATTTGTTGCTGAAATTATTCCATGGGTTGCAGAGATTTAATATATGCAAAAATTTGAGATCAGTAAGTATCCCTAGCATGTATTTTGCCTGAGGGAGTAAATATAATATATGGTATACTCCCACGGGAGTAGGAAATCTTTTGGGACCATTTAATGCATGATGACAACCCATGTAATTTTATCAGTGGAGTTGCAAAGTAATGCTCTCTCTCTCGATTGGAATTTTTAGCGATTTACTTGACTTCATAGGCAATTTTGACAATTTTTTTGGCTCCGGGTCTGAAAAAACTTGGGTTTCAACTAGGTTTTTCTCCAAAGCTCAGGTATTTATTTGGGACCCTCAAGACGGGGGACTAAATTGGGTAATTGGAAATCCGGGTTTTGAGTGAAGATTGGGCGCCTAGACATTACTTGTTTGGAATACTGGTTTTCATAGAAACCTGCGATCCAAACGGGCTCAAATTTCTGTAGAGGTCCCTTAACCACGCAAATGTAATTTTCTGCAGTCCCATTTCTATACCATGCTCCCACGAGAGCATATCCGTGAGCACTTTTTAATGTAATGTGGTCGATATTTGGTCAACTACAAATAAGAAAGGACTTGATGTGTGTGCGCTAAATTCCGCGCAATGCTTTGCCTTAAGACGCTTAAAGCAGGGTACCAAAAGTTAAGAAGAGAAGTTAAAAGGGATGCCAAAAATACGAAGCAATGCTATCAAATTTGCATAATAGCTCTCTTCATTTCGGTCATAACTCAGAAGCACTTCGAAAGATGTATGTGGATCATCATCATCCAAGTTTTATTCCAATTAATTGGGCCGGCTACATGAATCTTGTTTCTCCATTTGAGAATGTAATTGATAAATTTTAAAAAGTATAAATTTGGTACTTTTATGAAATTCTTCATATCTTATTGAATTATGAATAAAATGCGTTATATTTTTCAAAATTGGGTAAATTTTACCCCTTTTATTCATAAACTGGCTATTTTAAAAAAATTTACAAATAAATTCATGGAGGAGTGATTTGCTGAGCTTGGGTTTAGCGCCTGAAGTGGAAGAAGATATTAGCAGTTTATGGGGAAGAGAAGAATTTGATGAACATTGAAATGAAGGGAGGCTTTTGGTGTAATAAAACTTCTTGAAATGTATTTTTCTCAACGGGAACAGTTCGTAATTGCAATGAGCTACATTTCACCATCCTGTGTATCGCATACCGTGCACATAGGGAAACAGTTTATATAAGGTGTCCACCTTATATTATAGAAGTAAGATAGTACCTTAAAAATCGATGTTTCAATGCCGAAAAATCTTATAACTGATTATCTCGACTTTGAGATATATGGATATAACAAAAAAAAAAAAAGGATTTCAAGTCCTAAAAATAATAATGCATCTTTGTGACACATTATTTAGACTATCTATTTTGAAGATTATTATAGAATTTTAGTATTTATAGATCATATTGATCTACACTATTTTTGGAATTTTAATTTTGTAATTAGATGTGGAAATTGTAAGGTATTTAGGCACCATAACCACATCTTTTAGCAAGATTTAGCAATAGACCTTACTTTCCCTTGTACTTCTATGGTTTTGTAATTTGTCTTGAGTTTTTAGTAAAAATTAAACATTCAGAAAACAAAACAAAAAAAAAAAAGAAAAAGAAAAAAAAAAAGGGTTGACACCTTATAAAAACTAAATAGTGCTCTTCAAAACAACTTATCTTAGAGATGGATTTAGGATTTAAAATACATCTTAAGTTACTCTACATGCATTTTGCTTTAGAAGCATATTTTCAGGTGATTAAGAGTTTGTAAAAATTTAAAAATTGTCGGTCTATAAACAAAATTTTGAAGTTCAAAATCCATTCTTTTCCAAATTCGTAGCAGTGGCAGTCGATACTATTGGCCTTTAGATCCAAATCCAGGTCTTAAGACGAATCTTGGCGAAGACTACTTTAAAAGTGTATGGCTGAAACACCAAAACCCCATCCATTGATATGTCCACAGTAGTGTTTAAAAAATTGGTCGAGTTACTTGTGCTAGGGCAGTCTAGACCGAGTTATCCTGAGTAGGGGGTTCAAGTTAGGGATCTTAAAAAAAAAATTCAAAAAAAAAAAAGAAAAAAAAGAAGAAGAAATCTATTTGTAACATGTTTATTTATGTGTTCTATCATTTGGGCAAAGATTGGAAAGTATTTTGGCCATAAATGCTTATTTTAATATTTTCTCATCTTTTTTGAATTATTTTGAAAGTACATCCCAATCACAAAATGAATTTTTTAAATATTTTTTAACTACTTTTTTAACCTCATTTAGATGTTTCTTTGTTTAATTTACTTTAACATATATTTCTTATGGGTGCGGTTTCTGTAAGGTTGCAACCTTAAACAATCCAGTTAAAGTGCATCTTCAAATTTTATCATAACATGTAATTTTGTTTTAAATTTTTTTTAGGATTATCTTAAAAACTATTTTCATGTCTAATTAGAAAATTTTAAACTCCAAAAATGGCTAAAATCAAGTAGATCTATAAACATATGAAAATTTTGAAAATGGACGGTCTAGATAATGTGTCGCAAGATGCACTATTTTTGGGACTCAAAAACTTTTTTTTTAATATTCATACATGTCAATGTTGAGATGATCAATTAGAAGGTTTTTCAACATTAAAACAGCCTTTTCAATAGATTTTTGAGGTGCATATGTGATTCTACATTTTAACGTTGCAACTTTATATAAACTTTTCCATTACCCATTTTTTAGATTTTTTTTAACATTTTTTGTTGCTACAGGACTCGACCCAACTCAAACTGAGTTACTCGGATTGGGGAGAGTACTGGGCTTAGACATGGGCCAAGTACTTGGCTCATTCATTCAATCACTAGTCAATAGTATATTAGGGTGTCATACATATCTTATATGGGTGCGGTTTGTATAAAGCCAAGGCTTTACACAATCAAAGCAAAATGCACCTTCAAATAGTGTTGAGAAATGCGGTTTCAATACTGGAAATCTTTGTGATAGCCTTAAAATATATTTTCATCTTTAATTATAAAATGGGCGGTTTGTATAGAGCCTAAGCTCTAAACAATCAAATTGGAGCCTACCTTCAGATAATGTCGAGAAATGTGGTTTTAATATGGGAAATCTTTGTGATAGTCTTAAAATATATTTTTATATTTATTTATAAATTTTAAAGCTTAAAAAACAATGTAGATCAACAGATCTATGAAAATCTTGAAAATTGAAAGTCCAAAAATGCGTTATAAATGCACTATTTGCAAAACTTGAAATCCATTTTTTTCTCAAGTCCATGCATCTTGATGTTGAGATGATCAATTTGAAGATATTTGAGCATCAAAACAACTTCTTCGAATGGAATTTTTTATGTAGGCTCAAATTTGACTGTTTAGAGCCTTGGCTCTATATAAACTTTTCCCTTATAAAATTAAAAGCTTAAAAAATAGTGTAGATCGAGCAGATCTATATAAAAATTTTTGTAAAATAACGGTCCAAAAATATATTACAAGATGCACTATTTCCAAAACTTGAAATCCATTGTTTTTCTCTTGTCCATGCATCTTGATGTTGAGATGATCAATTTGAAGATATTTAGGCATTAGAACAACCTCTTCTATTGAAAATTTTGAGGCAGACTCTAATTTGATTGTTTAGAGTTTCGACTCCATATAAACTTTTCCCACATAATTATATAAAGAAAATTTGTTTCATGCAGGTTGGACCGCATTTCTACATATGGGTCCAGAAAAGTGCAATACATCCATCTTAAAGATGGATGCAAGTTGGTGTTCCATCTAAAAATAATTGAAACTAATGGTCAAAATATTTTTTATTAGAATTATTATTTTTAATTTTTAAAATTTATTTATTTTTTCATATGAATGATGTCCATGCTAGAGTTTACATGTCATTAAAAATTAAGTCTTATAATCCATCTCAAAAATAGATTTATCAAGAGGCCCGCATTTCTACATATGCGGGCTTGGCCACATAACCTGCCAAGCCCGCATATGTAGAAATCCAAGCCTATCAA